ACAGCAGAGGTTTTTTTCCTAAATAATTTATTTGTGAGGGAATGTAACAAGGTGTGCTATAAAGCTGTGAGAGGAGAACTTCGTCACTGGAGTGTTCTGCTTACAGGAGGTCACAACAAAGAGCAATAGCTGAGTTTACAAATTATTTGGAGCCATGCACATGCCAGTCTCCTCAGTCTGAAAGGGGAAAAGAAACTCTTGCTGCCCTTATCATTTTCCCTGAGCTGTTCTGTGCCCTTTGGCTTTACCTTTGTGATGGTTGATGAGCTGATGGCCCAGTTTGGTGTGGTGAACCACCCCGATGCCAGGTGACCCGATCCAAGAGGGACCATCACTCTTTCAGCATTGTTTTCTTCATTTACCCTAGCTTTCTAAGTTACACTGCTAAAAGGAAAAAAATGCTTGTATTTTATAAAATATAGTCAGCCTGTTTCTGAGGTGTTTTGGAAAACGTGCGCTGGTTGCGATGAAGTTCTCCTGCGTCCGTACGCGAGCAGCTTTCGGTCGGTCGAAGGATATTTTGCAACATCACGTGGTTATCTTGGAGATGTCTCCAGTCAAAGAGTCGCCACTGAGTGACCCCTGAGCCTGTTTATTTGTCAACCTCAACTCAAATATGAATTTTAATTTCACAGGGTCTGATCATTTATAAAGTTAGCCAGCAGACTTTCAAACAGACACCAGCGTTTTTGCAAACCTTTGGGTATAATTTTGAAGTCTATTCAAAAGTAGCCCCCCAAAATTGCAATTCTCTCAGTGAAATAAAAAAAAAAAAAAGCTTACAAATGATAGGAGTGGTTTCTGAGAGTCTGCTGTTCAAAAAAGAGAGGAGGAAAAAAAGCACATCCAAGTATTTTTTACTTCTCCTTTTTCTGGCATACGACACATTTCAGCTATTGTTACAGTATTTTTCCCCTCAATACCAATTTTAAAATTATGATGGATTATGCCAAAGTGTATTTTTGTGTAATTGTATTTCTGTGAAATTTTATTGTATTTCTGTGAAAATTTAATTGTATTTCTGTGAAATTTAGCATTTGAGCAGGGATGAAGAGCAGCTATCTTTTATTAGGTTGACTTTTATTTCTCGGAGTTTGAATCTGCAGCCTTAGACGTGAGGGGGGAAAACAGACCTTTCTACCGTATGAAGCACACGAGCAGATTTTGCAATCCTTGCTTACACGGAGTAGTAATTATGCAAATGAGCCTGTGCTGGATACTCCTGTAAGTCGCTATTCGCATGTAGCTCAGCTTCGTGATAGAGCAGCAGCAGCTTCAGCAGAAGAAGCAGGGTAAGGTGTTCTCCTTCTCTTCTCCCTTCTGCACTGTCTCTGCTCCCTCCCCGGAGCTGTAGTGTGCTGCCTGTTCACCGCAGCCGTTTGCCGGGACGTGTTATGAACTCGATCAGCAAATTGATCTGAATTAATTAAAAAAATTATATATATACACTCTAGAAGGCTTACAGATTTGAGTTAGAATGACAAAGTACCACCTGTGCACTTAAAATTGATATTTTGATGATTTTTTAAAATGTTACTAGAACCTCCGCTGAACTTTCATCCCCTTATCCAAGCGCTGGAATGTTCCTGACTGGTTTAGGGTGACGAATTGTTTCAATAAACAAACACAGCCCGGGAGCTGGGAGTGGGAACCGGGAGATGCCTGGGTAGCGCCGCGGCTGCTGGGCTCGCCTCATCACTTGGTGCCTCAGTTTCCCCGGTGGAAACTGGGGAAGACGGCATGCAGGAGCGGCTCTGTCTGCGAGTAAAAACTTACTTTGCACGGCTTGGCTGACACTGACTTAGCAGATTTATCTTGACAGTTGTTTTAATTTGCTTTGAGGAAGGTGTGTGGTGTCCTCGTGGCCGTACAGGTGAATATTTATGTAATGTGAAGATGGCTCAGCGCAAGTTGATGCAGACTTTTTGATACGTGAAGTTGATAATGTTTTCCTGCCCTGAAAAACTATAATCTGTAACTATTTTGGATTTCAGTCATAATTCTGAGTCCTCGGCATCTCTGCAAATTCGATCATGTTTGCTACCATGGAAGTAAGGCTGGCAGGGAGCAGGGCTGGTCCTTGGCAGGAGATGCTGTGAACAGTTCAGATGGGTGGCAGAGGGAAACTCCCACAGCTGTTGGGAGCAAGATAAGTGTGTCACGCAACCAGCTTCACGTCCTGAGGAACGCTCTGGGAACAAGGGAATATTTTGGGGAAAAAGCATCGCAAAGTTCTAAAACTGTACTCAGGAAACGGCGGCGATGTGTGGGTGTGCTGAGAGGTGAGGGTGGCTGGTACAGGGGCTTCCCAGGGAAGCAGTGCTGTCTTGGAAAGGGACTTCCAGAAGAGCAGGTGAGGGTGTGGTTGTCTTGAGCTGTATTTATGGAAACAGAAATGCGGCTGGAGCCACTGGCTTGGAAAAAACCCCAAACAGAACAGGTTGCTGTGACCAAATGCAGATTCGAAGGCCGATCTTCTGTCCTGGGGAACTGGTTCTTATCTGCAGAGATCTCCATAGCAGCGATCGTTCAGTGCAGCAACCAGGTGCAGGCATTGCCCAGTGACATCATTGCTGGTTTTATTTTTTAATGCTGGTTTTGTCAAAAGGATTTTTGTTTTGTTTCACGTATGAGGTTAACGGGACCAGAGAGGGCTGCTAGGGCAATGAAATATTTTAGCATTATCAGTATGCAGTTTTGAAATCATGGTTAATTTTGAGTCCTCCTTGTGCTCTCTAGTGGGGATCTCCAATTAATTTTGAATCCTGCTTGTGCTCTCTAGTGGGGTTCTCCGAGATCACAGTTTCTAAGATGGATAATAATCATATCTTCGAGTGCAAGCAGAGAATTTGTACTACAGGGAGCAGAAGGACTGTTGTGAGTGGGAGAGGCTGGGATGGGGATCCTTACAGTTTCGTGTGCATTAAGCTGATCTGAAAGCTAATGCTGACTTTTAATTCTTTTGGACAATGTTTGGGGTTTTTCCAGTTCATGGTAGTATCCTCCCTTCTGCAATTACCTTTAAGATTGCCCATTCATTTTCAGAAAGGCAATAAAACAGAATTTGGCAGCTTTAGTAAATAAAGAATGCACCAAAGACAATTACTAACTAAACAAAGATCTGTCTTCTTCCCAGGAATGCAGTGCGACAGGTGACCAACAAAATGTATGCGTGCACACGCATCAGGGGGAGAAGAAGGACAAAAAGAGATTTTTCACAATAACCACCAGTTCCGACCCTATTACAGCCTTCTGCATCCCAGCCTGGGCTTGTATTGTGATTCCATGTAAACCAGACAATTCTTTAGAAAGGAAAAGGATGTTTCAAGGCAGTGAAGAGCTACACCCAGCTGTGTGAAGTGGCAGGGGGCTGGGGTACGATGGCTTAGCTGGCCAAGGCGGGCAGTGCAAAGCGATATCGGGGCGAGCCTGGAAGGCAAAGGGTGTCATTCCACGTCCTTTCACAACAGAGAACGACACGTTGGGGCACAAAGCAAAAGCAGAGGCACTGAAGTGAATTTGTGTTTAATTTTATTTAAAAACAAATGTGAGGAGGCCTGTGGCTTTCTGAGCTTCTCTACACAAGGTTGTGTTTTCTGTTTTGTCCGTGCTGAAGCTGTCGCCCGCAGAGAAAAATGTCCATGCGTTTCCCTGGTGAATTTTGAAATACTCTCAAGCAGTAAATAATAAATCTCGAGGAGATCCTCATAGGTACCGGTGCCTAAGCAGATGCTGCCGTTCCTTCTTCGAGCCGTGGCTTTGGCCGCAGCCTAGCCTGAGGTCCGACCTGCAGCGTGCCCGGCGTCGGAGCACGGCACAGAGCTGGCAAAGGGAAGGGCAATGAGGGGAAAAAGTGTTCTGGACCAGCTTCTCGGCAGCCTCTCCCACCCCTTTACTGCCTGCCTCCATGCCACCTCGTGTGCTAACTCGGGCTGTCCTGTAGGTAACGATCACAGTGCGGAACTTTAAAGCGGTTTGACGTTACTGAGCGGCCAGGGCTGTCAGAAAGGAATGATTTAGGTTGCTGATGGTCAGCATGGAGTCTTTCAAAACAGAAGGTGGAGGGCATCTACTTTGTAATTTCTGAAAAATAAGCTTTAATTACAGAATCATAGAATCACACAATCACAGAATCACAGAATGGTAGGGGTTGGAAGGGACCTCTGTGGGTCATCTAGTCCAACCCTCCTGCCGAAGCAGGGTCACCTGTTCTCTGCTCTCGAATTGGCGTCTTCTAAACAACCATTTGTGTCTGAAAATTTTCATTAATGCAGTTGAGGTGAATTTTCAAAATGCCTTTTACTGATCCATGTTCAGTTTTGTATATTTAACTTCTTTGCAATTAGTATTTATACTTGCACATGCCCTAGCAGTTAAAACTCTTGACACACGTCAGGACTCTGCAGTGAAGAGCAGTTGTACGCCGCTGGTTGCCTGGAGCACGCTTCAGACTTCTCACCCGTGTGTTCTGTGTCAAAATCTGCCGTGGCCCTTATCTCATCCCAGTCAGGAACAGCTTTTGGCTTCCTGGGAACGCGCCAGTGTAGCCCACAGTTGAGCAAAGCCTGAACTTTCTTGTCTAATCATTAACTTCTGTAAAGTTCCAGGTGCTTAGAATGGGCTCTGTCTTTCTGTGTGCTCAGGTAGTTTCATTTATAAGTAGAGGCTCTTTTAGCTACAGAAATCACAGAATCACAGAATAGCAGGGGCTGGAAGGGACCTCTGTGGGTCATCTAGTCCAACCCTCCTG